TGAAGGGGCTACTAGGCTTGAAAGACCTTGAGTATGCATATTCACCACACACTTCCCATTGTACTGAAAGACTTCTTTGGTTGGTGATCATCAGTTTTATTCATTCAAATGACCAAATGATTTATTCAGGGGTGATACTGTAAGCAGACATCAGATGCTAGTCACTCCTGGAGGTTGATTTGTTAGCAAAAGATTTCAGTTGGTGGGACATTATTTGATGGCCATTGTAATAAATAATTCCCATGTCAGTGTTAAACACTGGGCTGTTTAGGGTGAAGTTTACCATTCTTGATTTTTACTTAAAAGGTCCAAGATTTATAATTACAATCACAGGTTTTTTTCATATTTAAGTGAGCCGTTGGTTACTTTCAGTAACATGTAGTGACCCTGGCATGACTATACTGAGGACTCTTCTGAGGTTTCATGAAAAATGAAGAGATCTTCCTGGATCTTGTTGAGGAAATCTTGAATCACAAAGATCTCAAAGGACTATGTATAGGATTTGTTTAGAGAATACTAGGCAACCATTTTCTTCTCAAAAAGAGTACCTTTGGGAGTGACAATGTTAAATGTTCTAGGTGTCACTGATTCAACTAACCTGTACTGACAGATCTGTACAGTTCATCTAGGGCTAGAGGAAATTTATCCTGCAATTGCTTGACAATATTTCTGTCTTTATCTGTGGCTCTTCCAGCTCTGGGATCCAAGTTAATAGTGTCCAGAAGTATTGATCCTAACAGCAGGCTTGCCATCTGCCCATCTAATAAATCTAAAGCCAATAATTTCTCTGTCACAAGTGTGCAGCATGATCCCACAGGTTCAATGTTTTTTCTTACTTTCAAATAAGCTGGCCATTGATCTTTATGATGGTCTGCAAGAAAAATATGAAGCAAACATCAATCATCTGAGGAAATAGAGGACTGGGAACATTTACTGAGAAGTGACAGACTAAGTAAAAATTGAAGCAAGAAAATGTTAAGGAAGTTATGCACAAATTGATGCAAAACAGTAGCAATCACACTTAACAAGGATCTCAAAGACAGCAACATCCAAGTGTTTCTGCCTTTTTGCTAAGATGTTATGATCCACTAAAATAAGCTGCAGTTTCCCTGTTTCCAGTAGGTTTTCCAAGTCAACATCTTCTATAAATATGAAGGAACTTGAGTCAAGTAGATATCTCTGGAATAGAAAAACCGCCTCTGTCCTCAAACAAAAGTCTTCCTTATGTATGTTGAATACAGGAATAACGGCTATTGGCTTCCCTGGAACATTGATAAGTGTCTGTCAGTGAGGAAAAAAATTAAAAGTGAAACCTTAAAACAGTCTTTAATGATTACTAAATTAAAAAAAATACAAAAGATAGAGGAATGAATGAAAAGGGAATAAGCATGGATGGGGATGGCAAAAATTTTAAGGTAATGCATGTGTCAAGTTTTAAAAAATGTCTGTTTGGTTAAGTTTTAAAGCAAGTTATATTTTGCAGCTTTACATTGTACTTGGCTAAACATTATTATTGTAATTAATCCATGTCAATAATCATAATTATTCTGGTAAAATCTTCATATTAAATGAAGATTTTTAAACTTTTCGAATCTCCTTTCCAGGAGCTATACATTTCATTGTGAATTAGTTAAGGGTAACTATTATTTAATTTCTCACTGAGGTATTGCTGCCAAATCAAACATTAGCCTCATAAGAATTAAAGCTTGAAAAGTTCTTGATTTTTAGCTAAATTCTCCTTGTCAGTGCTATAGGAAATGTATAAAGAACAGCATGGAGAAGACATGCTGATGTTAAGGTGAAGAGGGTTAAAAGTTTTATATCAAGTTAACAACCTCTAAACAATACTATATGTGTATTATCATTACCTGATGACAGCCGATATTGAATTGAGAAGTAAATTTTACTAACTTGTGGGAGTTAATTGATCAAGTACAGGGTTGATAGAATGGAACTCCAGAAATGCAGGGAAAATTCCTAAGTGGATTTACAATTTCATGCTGCATATACGAGGAAAGTGAGGAACTTCATGAATAAGTTCAAAACACGGTTGTAGTTACTGTAAATCTCACCTTGTAAATTGAGAAAGCGTAAAGTAAAGATGACACCATAGAGTCAAGATCACATGCTTCATTGCCCAGCACAACATGCACCTCAGAAAACTGAGAAATATTTGCCAAACAATCCTAAATGCAAGTACAGACTTTCAGAAGGTTTAAATTCTCAAAATTTGTAGTTATCTTTATTTATAATTGGTAACCTATTAAAAAAGTATAGTCAGCTATCGAGTTGCTATAAAACTAAAGCGTATCAGGTTTACTCTGATGACAAATAAATACATTTACAACGGTTATACCAACACTATATTCAATAAAAATAAGGTTTTACATTACCTGTGTAAACAACAAAATATAATCACAAAATAAATTAATAAGGGTCACAAATTGGATAATTATTGTGAACATAAAAAATTAAGAAAAGACAAAACTATCAGTCAAGGAGTTAAGAATAAGAAATCAGTCGGTACAGCGCATTTTACTTTGCAACTTAAAAGTTTTTTTTCCTATACATGTAAAGATATACATGCATGATGTTCCAGGTGACAATATCTTCACCTCTGCATCTCCATAGTTTTCCGATTTGTATCGATTTGGAGGTAACCGAATCGTACATATGGCTGTTTTCAACTTATCACACCATACAAAGAGCACCGCATCGGTTAAAGTCGTCCTAAAATAACAACACAGATAAAATCCCACCTTCGTAAACTTCAGAAATGCCTCCATGTTAACTCTCTTCGCGCTTCACGAGAAGTAAACTTGGATTCAGACCCCTGTGTGAGCAGCTGAAAAAACTTGGGAAGACCTGGGAAGAGTGCAACTTGTTGGGCTTTCCATTGCAAGAGGTTTAATTTGCCACCTTTTTCTTTCCAGATAATAAATTATCCTAAGGTACAACTATTTTTGATGTGTGTGAAGGTGGTGTTAGAATTAAGCTATCCTCCTTAGTCCTGGAAAATTGCCTGCCCTTTTTCTTTTCGTGTCGTTGTTAAAAGTAAATAAAAAGACCTCACGACGGTTTTAATGTCACATTTTCTGGGTTTCTAATTACCCCCAGAAAGAACAGAAGGCTTTGATTTTTCATGGAAAGGTATTTGAAAAAGAAAACCTGAGATGGCCTCTAAAGGTTAGTTATTGTCCCTGATCAGTCTACCTGAAGGGTTCAAATCTGCATCTGCTCATTCCAAATATGAAGCCTCACAGAACGATGGGAGAATCTTTTCTGTTTGATACGATTTTGTGATTTCATATTAAGCTGAAATTTTTCAGTTTTGTAAAGCAATAATCTCCACACAGAGAAAGGATAATTGGTTAATTCTGGCCAGACTTTACCTGGTGGACAGGTGGCTTGATCATCATTACTGTTTGATAAGATTTTGTGATTTCATATTATGCTGAAATTTTTCTATTTTGTAAAGCAGTAATCTCCACACAGAGAAAGGATAATTGGTTAGTTCTGGCCAGACTTTACCTAGTGGACCTCAAAGGTGGCTTGATCATGCAAGATTAAAATAAGTTAATTCGGAGCACTCTTGATTAACAGCCACATCAGTATGTTGGTTGGCAGTAGATTATGGTCATTCAACTCTCTCAACTCCATTCACTCTGATGAA